GCCTAGACATAGGACCTTAACCCGAGGTTGCGACTATTTCCATCCTAAAACTAAGATATCTCTCGTAATAGACATATTAGGGAATGTCTTAGGACTTTGAACTTGCTTAGACATAAGTCAAGTGAAAAGCGTAGTCGTTGGTTCCTAAAGTGAAATGCATATCGTCCTTAGCATATCCTTGATTCTTTGTTGGCTAACTTGAAGTAATTCGGGCTAGGTTTTATCATTCTAAGTCCAAATCCCAAATCCAAACCATTATTTGTGACCACTTCCCATTTTACAAGAATCACTCATTCCAACATTCACTATTCTTTAAAACTTTAGAGTTTGGAAATTGTTTAGAAGTCCTTGAGGATCGATACTTGGATACTCCGTCCATTTTATATTACTCTGACAGGTGTGCGCTTGCATCTATATAATTGTTACCACGCTTAGCGCGTGCGTTCAGCATAAACGCCCAGTCAAGTGCCAGCGCATTGGCGTTAGAGTTTTCTGACCTTGGCACTTGTCGAATCACATAATCTTCGAACTGGGTGAGGAGCTCCCGAGCTTTATTCAGATATCTTTCCGTACGAGCATCCTTCGCTTGGTATTCCTCGGTCACCTAGCTAACAATTAGCTGCGAATCGCTGATGATTAAAGGATGTTTCACGCCCATCCCCTAGCAAACCTTAGCCCAGCTATCAACGTCTCGTACTCGACTTCGTTATTCGAAGCTTTGAAGTTAAACCGGAGTGCATACTCAAACCGAAGATCATCGGGGCCAAGGAGCAAGATGTCTGCCCCACAGCCCTTCTCACTGGACGAGCCGTCTACGTAAAGTGTCAATTGGTCACGGTCGTCGGCCCACTGCCTAGTCGGAGTTAGCTTGGCAACAAAGTGTGTTGCGGCTTGACCTTTCATTGTTGTCCTAAGCTCGAAGGCGATGTCGTATTCACTAAGTTCCAGGGCCCACTTCATCAAACAACCTGACGTTTCGGGCTTGTAGATGATCTGCCTCCGGGGAAAGTTTGTCAAAATAGCTATTTTATGAGCTTGGAAGTACGGTCGCAAACGATGTGCCAATGTCACCAATGCTAGGGCCAGCTTCTCAACACAGAGGTAGTGGGCCTTGGCCTCGGTCATTGACTTGCTTGTGTAGTAAACAGGGTTCTGTCGTCCTTCCACCTCCTTTACGAGGATCGAGCTGACCGTCTTTTCTGACACGGCCAGGTATAAATAGAGAATGTCACTAGGCAGCGGCTTGGACAACAGCGGGGCCGTGCTGAGGTACTGCTTTAACTGCTGAAGTGTAGCTTCACAATCGTCAGGTCATTCGAAGCAACCTTTCTATCTTAATGTTTGGAAGAAGAGAAGGCACTTGTCGGTGGAGCGAGATGCAAAGCGATTCAGAACCGCCAGGCGACCATTCAGCCTCTGAAGTTTCTTGACATTCTTCGCTGCTTCCATCTTGAGGACTGCCCTAATCTTGTCTCTATTGGCTTCAATTCCCTGTTCATGGACCATGAATCCGAGGATTTTTCCCCACGAAACCTCAAAAGCGCACTTACTCATCTAATACTTTCGAAGTACACCGAAGGCTTCTACTAGGTCGGCCAGATGCGAGCTAGTCTGCTTGCTCTTGACCAACATGTCGTCCACATACACCTTCATGTTGCGTCCGATCTGTTTGACGAACATCATGTTGACCATTCGTTAGTATGACGTTGTAGCAATACAGCCTTTGGTCGGTGACAAATGACGTGTGCTCTTGATCAGGGGCATGCATCCGGATCTGGTTGTATCTGGAGTAGGCATCCATGAAAGAGAGTAGCTCGTGCCCTACCGTCACGTCGATGATCTGATCTATGCAAGGGAGGGGAAAATTATCTTTCGAGCATGCCTTATTGAGGCTCGTAAAGTCAATACAGACGCGCCACTTTCCGTTAGACTTCTTAACTAAAACGACATTAGAAAGCCACGCAGGGTAATGAACTTCTCTTATGAAATTAGCTCCTTAATAAATTTTCCTACGAAACAAACATGGCTATCTGAAAATGTCGGACATCTAAAATTCTGGGCATCTAAAATTCCAGACATGGGTAGATGTCGAGCATCTATATTCCTAAAAAACGAACGGCCCCTTATAGGAATATGGAGTTCAAATAATTGACTTTTTGGATGCCAATAATTAAGGGTCCGTTTGATAACCATTTCGTTTTTTGTTTTTGTATTTTTAGTTTTTGGTTTTCTGTTTTTAAAAAATAAAAACCATATATATGTTTCATAACTATTTTTTGTTTTTTGATTTTAAAAAACAGAAAATCAAACATGTTTGATAACCATTTTTAGTTTCTGTTTCTAAAAGTTAGAAAATTGAAAATACATATTAGAAAGAGAACATTTTATGTAGAGTAGATATGACAATGGTGTGAGTGCGAGTCAGCATGCTCTCCTTCATTCTCGTGCTCGTGAAAATTTTTAATCCCCATCTCCACCTCGTTCTTCAGTCTGAGGATGTTCTCGAGAAAAATTATCGATTTTATAATTGCTTTTAATTATTCTTAGAATTTAAAAAATAAAAAATTATAATAAATATATAGTAATTATTTAAAAGATTGAATAATCGGGGTCGGGACATGCATTTCCTATTTTTGGGGCCTGACCCTGTGGAAATTTTTATCATCCCTAACGTAGAGACAAGAAAATACAAGTTTAGAGAGATGTAAATAAATTTTTGGAAGATAAATTTTAGAGAGATAAATAAAAAGAATTAGAAAAAAATAGTCAAGGAAAAGTTAAAGACAAAAAGAGAAAAAATTTAGAGAAGAAAAATTAAAGTTGGAAGGAAAAGATATGTTAAAGAAAAAAAGAGATTAGAAAGAAAGAGAAAAATTATAGTAGAAAAAAATTTAGAGATAAAAATAAGATTCAAAATATAATTTTTAGAGAAAATAAATAAATACATAGATATATAAAAATTTTGAACAAGAAAAAAATATATAATTTTTAGAGATAAAAATAAATTAAGAATAAAAAGAAAAGTTATAAAAGAGAGAAAAAAAAGTTTGGAAAAATATTAAATTTTTAGAGAGAGCAATGGAAATGATCTATTAGAAAAAATATAGAAAATAAAAATACATAGAGATGAAAATTTGAAGAGAGACAAATAATAATAAATATTTAATATAGGAAAATTTCAATGAGAAAAATAAATTTTATAGAAAGAAATTTAAGAAGAAAAAAATTATAGAGTTAGAAAGAAATTTTCTAGATAAATGTGGAGAAAAAAGTAAAATCTATTTTTGAATGTTAAACAATAAATTGAGTTGGTTATCAAACTGTTTTTAGAAAACTAAAATCAAAAATCAAAAACTAAAAATGTAATGGTTATAAATCGAGCCCTCAATGTCTTATTCGTTGAACTATCTTTGAGTGAATTTTTTTTAAATAATGTTTTTATTTAAACTTATTTTTAAAATTATGCTGCATTAATTAAATTAAAGAAAAATCGCTTCTTTTTAAACTTATTCCAAAAATAATACTTTTGAAATTAGTGAAAAAATATTGCATTAAATAAAATTAAAGAAAAAATGCTTCTTTACTTAGCTTGTTGTTAGAATTCATATATATGAATTAAATTTATCCAACGGCTTAAGTTTTTAGGTTGAGTGGTAGTTCATTCATCCTAAGATGGTATCAGATCCAAATGCCCTGTTTTCGAACTCCTGTATTGTTGTTTTTTGCGACGGTGGTTTTGGGTCCATTGGCAAAAATGATGTCGTGGATTCTCATGCTTCTTGAGCCATATTTGCAGAAGAAAGAACCAAAGTTACTTGTGGGAGAGAGCTGCGAGAGAGCGGTAGGGGAGTTTCCCAATTTGATGGAGATTGCCAGAAAAAAATAAAAAAGGGAAGATTTGGCAACGATGGAGGCAAATTTTTTGTTTTTTTGGGACTAAGGAAAAAATTGAGAAAAATGATCAAGGATAAGAAGAGAAGGGAAATATTAACATATTGAACTGAATTTCTTCCTCCATCAAATTGCAAATTCGTATGAGCTATGAGCTCTAGTTATTGTATTTTATTGAGATAGTTTACAACAAATTGATTTAGTTTGTTATTGTACAGTTGTACCAGTTGCATTTCTATTTATGTCACATTATATTAGTGACACTTGTTTATATAGAGGGCATTTGTATTCATTTACAATTAATGAGAATACATTTTCCTCATTTCAATCTTAATATGGTATCAGTAGTGTTTGGGGAAGAGAATACCCTGGACACGTGGAGGACCCCTATTGGTGCTCCAAGATGACTCATGAGTCATGCCCAGCTCGGACCGCCGAGATCACCACCACCAGCGTTGACAGATGCTAAGTATGAGGGCCGAGGTGAACCTGGCCGAGGTCCGACCTACCGGGAAGCTCGGTAGGGGCCGATGTGAGCTACTGTCAGCGGCGTGATTGTCGGGTGTAACCGTCGGTCCCGAGATTACCGGGTGTAACCGTTACGAGATTAGCGGGACTACCACCCATAAGTAGAGGACCTCACTCCACGATCAGGTACGATGATTTCTGACCTTGAACTAAACTGAGAATCCGACCTATACTGACTTGATCGTTGGAGTGCTCACCTTTTTGTGCAGGTCCGCCCAAGTATTCAGATCGGTCCGGAGGCCAAGTTCGAGCTGCAATCTGAAATACACTGTTGTGCATATCCTTGCATAAACAAGTAGTATCCAATTTTCTCCTCTTTCCTCTATGAATTGCTCTCCTTTATCATGTCGTTGATCTCCGATCTACTTGAAGATCCTTTGCCTCCGACTGGTTTATCGCCTGAATCTTCTTCATCGCCGGTATCTTCTTCTACCTTATCTGGCGATGCATCTGTTCTCAATCCTTATTACCTCCATCACACCGACAATACTGGCCTTGTTTTCGTCAATCAGTTGTTGACTGAAGACAATTATACATCATGGAGTCGGTCGATGATGATTGTGTTATCCGTCAAGAACAAATTAGATTTTATTGATGGATTCATCCCTCGACCTTCTGGAGATTTGCTGCCGGCCTGGATTGACAATAATCACATTGTTATTGCTTGGATCCTCAACTCGGTGTCAAAGGAGATCTCTGCGAGTATCCTGTTTTCGGAATCTGCTCGTGATATCTGGATTGATCTCAATGAGAGGTTCGAGAAGAGTAATGACCCCTGCATTTATCAATTGAAGCGTGCTCTTGCAACTCTTGCTCAAGATCAACAATCGGTTAGTGCCTATTTTACCAAATTGAAGTCTCTTTGGGATGAATTAAGCCAATAGACCGATTTGTTCTTATTCTTGCTCATGTGGAGGTGCCAAATATACGGCTTCCTTTATGCAATATGAATACTTAATGAATTTTTTGATGGGATTAACCGAGTCCTATTCTCATATTCGGGCTCAATTATTGCTTATGGACCCGCCGCCGACCATTAATAAAGCCTTTTCACTGGTGAATCAAGAAGAGCAACAGCGATCGATTAATGTTACTTCACCTGTTCCTGCTGCCTTTTCTTCTTCGTTTGCTATGGCTATTCAACATTCATCTCATGTCAACAAGCCTGGTTCTAAGCCTACTTCTAATTATAAGCAGAGAAAGGAACGCTCTATGTGCACTCATTGTGGCCTCTTAGGGCACACTGTTGATAGGTGTTATAAACTTCACAGCTATCCTCTCGGATATAAATTCCAAGGTCAACGATCGTCTTTTCAACCTCATGTGAATTCTAATTCTGCTAGTTTGCATTCTCCGACTTCTGTGCCTCCGACAAAGTTCTTGGATTTTCAAGCTATGGCGGTTTCTCCGATTAATTCTGGATCAGATATGGCTTGTCAGTGCCAACAACTGATTCAATTGCTTCAGTCTCAGTTGGCCAATTCTAAAGCCACAACTTCTGATGATGCATCTGCTTCTTATATGGCAGGTACAAGGTATAGCTACCTCTCTTAGCCATTCTTGGATTCTTGATTCTGGAGCTTCAGCTCACATTTGCTATTCAGAATCATTATTTGAAAACATGTCTCGCATTTCTCCCGTGGTTGTCAACTTACCGAATAATATAAAGTTTACTATGGAGTTCAAAGGTTCGTGCGTATATCTGTAGACATTTAACTTCACAATGTCTTCTATATTCCCCTGTTTCATTACAATCTTATATCAATTAGTGTCTTAACCAGGGATTTTCATCGTCTATGAGTTGAATTCTCTAATGATTCTTGTCTTCTTCATGACAAGTACACTTTGAGGACAATTGGCAAGGGTAGCTTACAAAATGGCCTCTATTATCTTAGCAGTTCACAACCTGGTGATGTTGTTTCTTCTTCTATTGTTTGTAGTTCTTCTCATTTTGTAAGCAAGCCTTCATTTGAGACATGGCATAATCGCTTTGGTCATCCGTCCTTTAAGAGATTGCATGTTTTACAAGATACTTTGCAATTTGATTTCACTGCATGCAAAGATCATGTCTGTCATGTATGCCTTTTGGCTAAGAAAAAGCGTTTATCTTTTACTTCTAATAACAACATGGTTGTTCAAACTTTTGATTTGGTTCATGCTGACATTTGGGGTTCGTTTGCACATCCTACTTATCATGGCTATCGATATTTCTTAACTATTGTGGATGATAGTACATGTTTTACTTGGGTTGTTCTACTACGCAACAAATCTGATGTGCTTACAGTAGTACCACAGTTTTTTACTTATGTTGAGACCTAATTTGGTGCTAAGATTAAAGTCTTTCAATATAATAATGGTCCCGAACTTTTTTTCAAGGATTTCTTTTCCTCTAAGGGTGTTTCACCAATTTTCCTGTGTTGGTCGTCCAGAGCAAAATTTAGTAGTAGAACGAAAGCACCAACACATACTTAATGTGGCTCGTGCCCTCTATTTTCAGTCTCAGGTTCCTATACAATTTTGGGAAGGTTATGTTTTAACGGTTGTGTTTCTTATAAATCGTACTCCTTCTTTCGTTTTGCATTGGCATAGTCCATTTCAGGATCTTTACGGTTCATTCCGAGTGTTCGGCTCCTTGTGTTTTGCCTCTACATTATCTGTTCACCGAACCAAGTTTAAGTTTGATTCTCGTGCCTCTGCTTGTGTTTTTGTTGGATATCCTACTGGTGTCAAAGGTTACCGCTTATATGATATACAATCCAAGAAGTTGTTTATCTGCAGATATGTCATTTTTCATGAATCTTCTTTTCCCTTTCATGATCAATCAGTTTCTCTCGAGTAGTGTTGATCCCTTTCCAGACACAGTTTTGCCTTTGTCATTCAGCGATATGGTTGAGCATTCAGTTTTGCCTCATGAATCTGCTGTTGTGAATGACACTGAAATTGTTGCTACCTGAGACACTCCAAATGATCATTCCTCTTCTGGTTGTTCAATTGAGGTTGCTGATAATTCTCTTGGTTGCTCAATTGAAATTGGTGGTTCTTTACCTTGACCAATTCAAATTGAACCTAAGCCTTCTACTGTTGTTTCTCTGCCTTCAGTAGTTGATAATGCTAATGGTGATTGTAATTGTGGTGCTCCCACAGCTTCTGATAGCAATGCTCCGAGGCACTCCTTGCACACGGTTAAATCGCCTTCCTACCTCCAAGATTACGATTGTGCACTATTGCACGGAGATTCTTTACCAGCTTATTATACCAAGCATCCTTTACAACATCATGTCTCCTATTCCCGTTTATCAACCAGTCATTGTGCCTTAGGTGTTGGTATATCAGTACATACACTGAACCCCAATTTTACCACCAAGCTATTGTTCATCGGCATTGGCAGGATTCAATGGCCACAAAGTTGGCTGCTATGGAGACAAACAAAACCTGGATTGTGGTGCTTTGCCAGAAGGACAACATTTTGTTGGCTGTCGATGAATTTAGAAAATCAAATATAAGTCCGATGGAAGTATTGAGCGTCATACAACTCGTCTTGTAGCCAAGGGCTACACTCAACAGGAGGGATTATACTACATCGAGACCTTTTCTCTGGTTGCCAAGTTAGTTACTATCAAGGTTCTTCTCACATTGGTCGTTTCCAAACAGTGGCCCCTCATTCAACTGGAAGTTAATAATGCGTTTCTTCATGGGGATCTCTTCGAAGAAGTCTTTATGGACTTACCCTTTGGGTATAAACCGCCCGTAGCTACTGCTCATAAGGGGGAGCGCTTAGTTTGTTGACTTCAAAAGTCCATTTATGACTTAAAACAAGCCTCCTGACAATGGTTTGCTAAGTTTTCAACCACATTGTTGTCTCTTGGTTTTCGGCAGTCTAAGGCAGACTACTCTCTATTTTTACGGGGTTCTGGCACATCCTTTGTTGCATTATTATTGTACGTCGATGACATTATCATCGGTCCTTCTCTTCCACTTATTAATGAGTTGAAGTTGTTGCTTCATCATAGTTTCAAATTGAAAGATTTGGGATCTCTCAAATATTTTCTAAGCTTGGAACTAGCTCGCTCTTCTCGTGGTATTGCTCTATCTCAACATCATTATACGTTGTCTCTCTTAGAGGATGTTGGTTTACTCATTTGTAAACCAGTTTCTTTGCCTATGGATCCTAATATCTGTTTACAGGCTGCCACTAATGTTGATGTTCTTTATGATATTTCTTTATATCGCCGTCTTGTGGGTCGGTTACTTTATTTGACCATCTCTAGGCCGGATATCACATTTGCCGTGAACAAACTCAGTCAATATGTTTCTAGACCAAGCAAAGTTCACTTATCTGATGTATTTCATTTGCTTCGATATCTGAAAAATTTCCCTGGCAAAGAAATTTTTCTTTCTGCTTCTTCCAATTTTCAATTGCGAGCTTTTTCTGATGCGGATTGGGGCTCTTGCTTGGACTACCACTGGTTATTGTGTATTCTTAGGTGATTCCGTGGTGTCTTGGAAGGCCAAGAAGTAGCCCACTATCTCACACTCTTCAGCAGAGGCGGAGTACCAGGCTTTGGCAGCCACCACATGTGAACTCATTTGGTTATCCAATCTTTTGGCAGAATTTCGGATACCTTTTCGCCCCTGGCTCTTGTTTTCTGTGATAACGAAGCAGACATTCATATGGCCAATAATCCCAAGTTTCATGAACGCACTAAGCATATTGAGCTTGACTGTCACTTTATTCGTGAACGTGTTCTCAGTGGTTTTATCCAGCTTCTCCCTGTTCGTTCCTCGTTGCAGCTTGCTGATGCCTTTACCAAGGCACTCCCTTCTACTGTATTCCATCTTCTTTTATTCAAGATGGGCTTAGTTGATGTTTATGCTCCATCTTGAGGGGAGTACTGGGTGTTGGGAATGGAGACAAAATAAAATAAGGGGCAAGTGCAGGAATGACCAAATTTAATAACTCGTTTTAAAAAATGTCCAAACCTATCCGATATTGCAATAATGGCTAAATGATTTTTTTTTAAATACTGAAAAAATGTTTAGACAAATATACCCTTGTAACAAATTAGGTATATATGCATAATTTTAGGGATTTAAGATTTTTACGAATAACAAAAACAATCGACCTTAATATTAGGGAATCAACGGTATCTAATAAAAAATAAATCAGATTAAAATAATTATCTTAATTCTAATTTAAAATTGCTAATAAAGTAAATTTAAAAACAATGGATAAGATTGTGTTAGAGAAATCTTGAAATTTACCCATCCTTAATATAAGATTTACAAAATAAGAGAATAAATATTATTAGGGAGGAATAAGCTTATTTGTTTTAAAAAATCAAGAGAGTAAATATTATTAAAATTAATAAGATTGAGTTGGAGTAGATTTTGAAATTTACCCGTCTTTAATATAAGATTTACAAAATAAGAGAGTAAATATTATTAGGGAGGAATATTTTAATTGGTTTTTTAAAAAATTAGGGTTTTTCAAAAAAATCACATGAGAACTCAAAAAGGAAAAAAAAAACATCTAGAGGCACAAAGAGAGAACCTATTCCATACTAGGTGCATAGTGAACTCCATCTTATGTAGTGTTACATTGATAGTGGGACTTGCACTAATGTTGCTAGTAAGGATATAGTGGAGAGATTGAAATTAGCCAC